TAGAAAGACTGAAGACTAGACTTAGATAGCAAAGATACAGTGAACCAAGCCAGTGACACTATGCCTACGTTTCAGAGAAGATTCAGATATCATTGTCAATTATGTGCAAGTACACAGGTGGCCCACTATCACCATGGAACAGTGATTTTGGACTAGCGAAGAACTGGGCGCTAATCAGCTAGAGGTTGAATAGTCGAGGATCGAACTCAGGCGAAGGGACTACGTTTTCACCCTCCCGGTAACTCCCCAAGAACACAAACATCCGCTGAACTATGAGTGTCCGTCTGCGGGCTACCAGACGATGGAATCCGTTCCATGATTAGCATATGCAAATCTACCGAAGTCAACAACGATTGTGTGGTTTATGCAAATGTGTTGCTGATGTCGATAACGTTACTGAGCAACGAACATGTAATATCTCTAATATGCAAATCTGTCAGTGGCAAGTGCCTCGTAAAGAAATGCTCCAGAACATTCACGTGATTTTGTGGTCGCCTGTGCGGTCAGTTGATGTTCTTGTTGGATGGCGAGCTTGTAAACGACCAGACGCATTGACTGAAATGGCTGATCCCGTCATTCAAGGTAAGTGAATGAGTGATTAATTATGCATGCGTTTAAAACAGCGATTTCGAAAGGTGGCCGATGTGTCACCGTCGATGTCTGTGGAGCAAACGATGTTATCCATACGTTTGTTCGTTTATTCACTGTGCTCCACCCCATTAACATCCTTCAATTAGCATATGTCCTGGTCCGCCAAGTCGAGGGAGACACAGCGCCATCTATTAAACTCTTTCGGTGTGTAATGACCGAAAACTGAACTATTTTTTATTTGTTGCCTGTTTCCTGATCGGTAAGTACTGCTTCATGTTCTGCTCTCGTTGTTGCTCTTCAGACGAATAGTTGTAGGTCTATTGTCACAGGTCTTATTGTTGATTAACGACAATGTTTCGACGGTTCGAGTGCTAGTCTTCAGCAAGTGAAGCGATTTTGTCGCTTGAAATATTGCCAAAATTGTCAATTAAAAATTTAAGGTAAATGACAATTTATTTCTACAACCTAGGCGAAAGAATTTTTAAATTATGCTATTGTCATTTGCACTGCAGTGTTTTTACTGCACCGAATAGCAACCTTAATTGACGACAAACCTATTCAGACTGCTCAACACAAATTGTAAAATTTGGCTGTTAAATGGGCACGGATATCAGATCCATTGCGCCTCAGGTGACAAGTACTGCCCTACGTGCAAACAGTGCTCGTTTCGAACTGAAGTAAAATTCATTACATAATCCTCAATCTTTGGTTTTGCGATGAACTGACTCAGAAGGAAAAGTTATGTAGTTAGTGGAATGCTTAAATCAATGTTCAACAAGATTAAATTGAATCTTCCTGAATGTGCAGGCTTTACGGACCTCTCGCCTCCTCTGGACTCAGCAGCCAGTACTCCAAAAATTATGATATTCACAACGCTAATGATCGCATTCTACAAAATTTGAGCGCGTCACCGTTTTATGCCATGACCTCGTGTTTCACTCAGGGCGGCTAGTGCAATTTATGACCGATGGTCAGTTAAAATTAGATGAATTGATGATATTTTGAAGAAAATGTTTGGCTAACTGTTTGAGGATTCCTAACAACCAGTTCCTGCTATCGTGGAAGAAGGAAACATGTTTCAGCGTACTTCGCGTTATTCTAGAGTGGGAGGAGAAAGGAAAGAAAGATGCGCAGTGTTACGTTATTTAGAACGGAGAAACCTGACTCATACCCTTTAATTCGTCAGTAAAAAGAAAAGAAATATTTAATTTAAGCAAACTGAAAGTTCTACCTGGGCTGCCTCGTAAGAGCCGCACAATATGAATTAGCTTTCTATCGCCTTTCCTTATTTTGCTGTATTCCTTTCTCAAGGGAATTCACTTGCGGTTACAGTAGATGCAAAGCAGGCTTTCGGACTTGGGTGTTACAATGACCCTCGATTGCATGTCAGCAGCAGCTTCAGCTTCTTGTCATGCCACCCATGCTGAACAGGGTTGAAGCAAGATATTAGACTAATAGATATAAGCAGGAACCGTTCTAGGCTGCCTGTTTTTGAGAATGGTCAGGATAAAATGGGTTGCAACGCAGACTGGACCTTCTGGCAGGATCTGTGTCGTATATTCTAATACAGCGGAGTAGCAAGAAAGCAGCAACGGTGGAGGTTTATTTCAAACAGCAGTGATGAGCTGTGGCGCCACGCCGCGCATGGCTGCCAAAAGAGGGAAAGAACGCTCGACGTATGTGCAACTGAACCCCTTTCAGATAAACATTTGGCAAGCATTGAATACATGCGTAGAAACCACCCGGTCCCAAAAGCAGACCAAGGAGATGAGTGTGAGAGTCATTCGAGCATATATAACAGCTACAAAAGGAGAGAATGAAAAAAATGGTTAGGTGAAAAAACGCATTCTATCTCGATGGAGATGTGTCCCAGACAAACAGTTACTCAACAGAGACTGTCTGATGAGGTCTGTAGGTATTGTACACCAAAAATAGATTTTCACTGGAAGAAAAATAAGAAACGATTGCTTGTGGCACATGACCCTCATTATTTTATTCATTATATAGTTATACAGCTATACATGGGAAAATCACCACTTACTCATCAGCATATCGATGCATAAAAATAGCAGACATGGTAGATCGTCAGTGTTTATTCGAGGCGAATGCTGGACGTGCTAGCAATGAAGCGCTGACAACTATCTTCATGGCCTGGATGATGAAGAACCAGTCAGCGCAGAAGCAGCACATGCGTGGTGAAAGAAAGTAACGTGTCTCCGTTGTGTCAGCTCGCTCGACGCTGATTACTGGTGCTGCGAATTTAATGGTCGCCTTCTGGTAGCATAAATCTCCACGAACAACTTCGCGTCTTAAATCTGGCCACCATAAGGCCGATGCGGCCTTTGGCACCAAGGAAGGAAGCAAGCTCTCTTTTTCTTCAGTTCGTTTACAGGAGCAGAACATTAGACAGTGCAGTGGCATCACAGAAAGCGTTTCCTCTGCCCATCTGACTTTTTCTTAAGCGCTTAGCATTGGTTTCAGTTGCGAATTAATGGCGATTAGTGACATCTTCTCGTGTCTTTGCACTGACTATCCCTGCGCGAATCATCTACAAGGCGTACTTTACTCTGAACGAGAACGACTGACATGGTACGCTTTGAGTTACGGCCATCATTCTGCCCTAAATACCTCAAAAGTCACGTGAATATTTTTTTCAGCACTTTTTAACTTCATCAGAACTGTCCTCTAATTTAATTCGTGCGATTATTGCTCGTGATTGCTTTTCCTTTGCCGCTTTAGATGTTAATTGAGAAAGATTACACATTTACAAATGATATTTAGGTGGGTTAAGATAATTATATTATTTGAACAGGCCAAATTCAGCACCAAATTGAAACGGTAATGTGGAAAGACGCGTGATTCAAATTATCAACATAAGGCGCGCACCAGTTTTACCTATGAAATAAATACGGCTTGTGAACCCAATTATTCCTTTCTCATTATTGATGGATTAATATGATTCTAAGCAAGTTTCTTCTAGGATATGAACTAACCACACCCAACCTTTGTGGCTCCTTATCAGGAGTTATAAAAGCTAAAGACGTCATGATATTCATCCGGCGTGTGAATCAGTTACTTATGCCATTCTTTCGCTGTCCTTGATTGAAGATACAGAGCTCGTTTATTAATATCTGTAGAAGTGCTTGGAAAGCATTTTAAATCCGAAACGATCGTTCATGCTTCAGGTGGAAAGAGGCAAATTGACCAAAAAAATTACATAACTAACAGCACGGATGAGCAGCTGGCCTCATGACTACAATCAAGCTCCCTGCTGTGGACTACCCGAGCAAACACAAAATTTCCTCAGTTTTCCAAAATGGAAAAAGAAAGTGTCTGGTCGTTTAGAGGTTGCTCTTCCGTAAGCTCTCATGCTGCCAACTGTGGCATTCTTCGTTTCACAGTACGACATTAAGCCTCGTCTATGTGTTACACCAATGAGAATATTCATTATTGAACCTGTATGCACAGCTTGGTGGCCACTATGTCGCTTACTCCACTCCAGGTTTCCGGGTAGTGTTGCTCATTTATAAACGCCGTGAATAAGAGAGGTATGCAACCCGACCGGACCTGGAGTCCCTGACCTCTCGATTCTGAGTTTGACTCTGTACTGTCGAGCAATATCGGTCTGTTATGGAAGTTACCGCACATGTAGGCCGTGAAATATGGCCAAAGCACCGGCATCGGTCATTCACCCAATTAGTCACCTTTTTTTGGTGTCATTTTACCCTGTTTTTACAAACGGTTTATCGAGCATGGCATTGTGCAGTACAAACTTTCATCTTGACGACTGTTACTAGTAGTCACGCAGCAGTTTAATAGGATAGAAAAAGGCCTATGAAACACAGGCATCTCTTTGGCTTGAGGTGCAGAGATTTAGAAACACAATTAATATATGTCATTACCGTCTTAACGCGCTTAGGAAAAAATGGCTGCATTGCCAACTTGTAGCTGAAAAAATAATTTGTTTTGTAATTAAATTCAAAGATATCCGAGAGTCACATCCAGGACAGAGATTAAGAGGTGGAAATAGACGAGGAAGGAGATCAAAAGGATGGGCAAAACTGAGATGATTAAAAAGTGGCGGTTTTCGATTAGACAGAGAACGGTAAAGGTAAAGAAGGATGGAATAAGGACACAAGTATGAATAAGGGTGCGAGGAGAAGGTTGAGGGTAAGAAAAGATGAGCTTGAGGTTGTGGGTGAGAAAAATTAGAAGGAAATGAATGGAAAGGAAGAGAATAAGGTTGAGCATTATGAGAAGAACGTGGCTGATGATGACTACAGTGATGATTATAACTGTGGCGATGAGAATGGCGATGAAAGTCACAATGACAGTCACTATCCGATTTCTAGCACCGCCCTTGATTGGTTGATGCCTTGATCCATGAATAGCGAAAGTCATATTTAGCAAGATTATGCATTAAAGCAAAAGTCGATGAGAAGACACCCTGACAAGGGACCGGGGTGAGGGTGGGGGATCGTGGGTTGTTTAGGCAGTGAAGGTTACAACGACAAAGAAGCAGACATTTCTAATGTCGAACCGTCTGAAATATTAGCAACTAATTTCATTTGCATGTCTATGACAAAATTCACGAGCGTAGTGGCGAGTTGAAACTGAAATTTAAGAGGTGCTAAGTTACTGGTATGTGGCGAACGTCATCGCGAAGCAGCAGTGAATATGGAACAACAGGGGTGCCGAGGTTGCGTTCCTAAAATTGAAGGCACATCGCTTGACAACAGCTGTGGGTCACGCGCGCACGTCGGCCATCGGCTCACCGGATCGCCGTCGCCGGTACGAACATCTGTTCGACTCCGAGAAGATGAACGCACAGGCTCAGCGTCACTTTTGATCTCTTTAAATTTATTGATATGTGGCTCACTAATTAATGCCAATCTTGCAATTCCGTCAGCAATTCATTTATATAAAATAAAAGCACACATGCGCAACGATAATTATCACTTCCGTTGTGACGTTGTAAAAGATAAATTGATAGAATACGCTACGATCAGCTGATTTTGCTATGACATCGAGTAGAGCGCTACTCTCAATTTCAGAAACTCAACAAATGAATAATCGTGGGTATTAATTTTTTTAAACTTATCAAAAGCTTCGAATAATGTCGCTCGATTTAATAGCATACTAAAAAGACTAAAACACTAGCTTAGGAGTCTACTTGGGTGTCTGCAATCCAACATCGGATGGTTTTCATCGAGAGAGGAGAAGGACCTGAACGAAAGATCTGATGCAGGGCGAAATACGGCAGATCGAATATATTTGAACAGCTACGCCAGCCGTTAAACTAATGAAGGGAACGTGGGACGGAGGTTAACGAGGCCTGAGGATCAAGGCTGAGCT